TGGTGCAGCCAACCCAAGGCCATAAACTAAGGCCTCAATATATTATGGCAGAGTTTAAAATGCCAACAAGTCCATCCTCAGGCAGCAGGAAAGACAAAATCCAAGCCAAAAGTGGAAAAGTTTCAAATTACAGGCACCCGGTCAAAAACACAAAAAAGACACAGAGAGGAACATGGAGAACTGAGCAGCACATTAGGGCAGGAGCAGGTAATCACGAGATGTGGACACACACGGGGAAACAATAGACACATAAGAAAATTATTTAAACAAACAGGAAATTAACACAGAGTCCAGGGAAGTATCACAGGGGCAGAGCATGACATTTTTAGGTCATTTCTCATACTCTACCTACCTAACACTATTATTTGACTTTAGCGTTCAGTATCAGTATCCTGGCCATAATAGAGGGATAATTCACTGATTTCAGCGCAATTAAACAAATTTTATTAAAAAAGTCTTGCATACTCAAGGTGACCAGGTTCTATATTCCTTATTCTTGTTATACATGTATAGAGAACTAGTGGAACTAGTATAGATCTCCACTGACGACTGAAGAATAGATGGTCTTTACTTTAACGTCCTGTCAAAGTTCCACAGCACAGATGTGATTTTCCACTGAAATAAAAACCAGCAGTCCAGATGTCTGCTGTGGCCAGTGTGCAGTCAGCAGTACTGCAGAGGCACCACTGAAGAGGAGGACTCTACAAACAATCATCTTCTCAAGTGACTCTCTTTCTAACATTTATTTGGATATGCACATAAGATTCTTCACTGCACTGAATAAAAATCAGAGCGCACAGGTGGATTCATTTCAAGTGACGAAAGGCTGCATGGAGGAGGACAGGTAGGTTTGATTTAAGGAAGAGGAGTTGAAAGAGTAGAGGACTCACAGTCTCAGTTTCCATCCACATATAAGTTTTTAAAACTGATAATATATGATGAAAAAAACATTTTGCCAAGATAGATAGATAGATAGATAGATAGATAGATAGATAGATAGATAGATAGATAGATAGATAGATAGATAGATAGTTAGATAGATAAAATATAATAAAATAGCTCAACATACCTAGTAAAAAAATAAGTCTTTTTTTTTTTTTACATACAAGTGAAACAGGAAATTCAGTTCACATTCCTGATGGTGCTCTGATGATGGTGCTAATGTAACCTATAATCTGCATACAGTAATTTAGGCCTTCTGTACAGCTATTGTACATAGTTATAGGCTTCATAGTCTAGGCTATATATAGGCATGTATATGGTGGACTTTAAACACAATGCTTATTTTTGATTCATTTCCAAACCAACGCAGGCTACTGTCATATTTTGCCATAGACATGCACCAACGTGACTGGGGGATGAGAGTGTTCATCAGGTCAGAAGCTGTTTGGTGCTGTTAAGCAAATGTTAGCAATACGCTACACTAAGGTAGAGAAAATGATACTTGATAAACATCAGCATCTTAGCATTTCCAAACCAACGTAGGCAACTGTCATACTTCACCATAGACATGCACCAACGTGGCTGGAAACGCAGTCTCCTTGAATCTAAGCAGTGAGTGATTTAAAAACAAATGGCATATCAAATAAATGGAACACTCTTGACGTCACACGCAGAACACTGTCACGCAATATTGCATTTCATGTGTGCGGCTGGAACGCATCAACATTCAAAATCCGTTAAATTTTATTTCAGCACCGACTCTCGTCCGGGTCACTGAAAGGATACACAGAGGAATCGGTTACTTTCTCTTTAACCTTAGTCTTAGTCTTGTAAAACTTATACAACCATATTTGGTAAAACAGAAGAAATTGTGTCATCTTTACTTAACTTCCTACTTACCTCTGTTCACCCACATGCCAATCTTAATGTTGGGTTTTGCTGTGGTGCCTTGCGTCACCACAACTGGATTTAATTGTCCCAGTTCACTCAGTGTTAACCCCACAAGACCTGCATCTCATGAATCAACTCTAGATGAGTGTGTACCACCACCGGCACAGATAGACTTCAAGGCCAGAAATTACAATAATTACAATAATATCAGGTTGCTGTATCAGGATGCTGGCCTCCAATCCACAGGCTTGGACTGTC